ATTCCTTAACTTGCTGGCAAGAATATTGTGGGTGACCCTATCAAAAGCTTTGCTAAAGCTGGCACTGGGGGCTTTGGGAGGACCAGAAACAACTTATTTGAATATTCATCCTTTGATTAATGAATATGCAAATATGCAAATGAACGTTGCCGGTCCTCCAAAAGTTTGTGAATGGATTTACATGGTCCCCGTGTCAAAAAGTTTGGGAACCCCTGATCTACATGTTTTGTTAGTCTGTAAAGTGCTACCAGACCATTTGCTGTTTTTTTTCTGTAACAGACTACCTTGGCTATCCCCTGAAGCTCATTTTAATGTAAAACTTTGTCAGAGCTATTTCAGAGCAAGTCTATATAAACTTTCAGAGCTTTGTGCTGAGCAAAAGAAATGCAACTTTTTTTAAGAAACTAGAACTTTACATGCTGAGAATGTTAGTCTGAATCACAGTGAATTGGATACTACAACTTGCAGCCAAAGAATTCTGAGAAACTTGATCACATTTCTACCATCATCATGAAGGAGTTGAGATGAAAAATCTGATTTTTTTTCTGCTCATATATGTATGACTGTGTTTGACATGCATACAGCACTTTTAGCCTGTCGGCTTTCCTATTAGCCCATAGATCTTTGTGATACCTGTACACCTGGCAGAAAGAAAGTAGTAGGAACCTGAATCTCTTACAGTGCTGGGACAAATTGCTGTTTCCAGTTGTCATTATCTTTGGGCGTATTAGGCTGGATGTGGTCGTGGGTAAGCCAACACCTGGGGTTGTGATGGAAAACTGTGATACAGCTCCTGTGCTCTCTCTACTGGCATTGCTGGTGTTGCTAGTTGTAGCTGCGATGATGGTGGAAATGACAGTACTGGTGATGGTGGATACTGGAGTTGAAACTGGTTCAGTTGTTGAGGCAGCTGGAAGATCTGAAAAGCAACCCCATATAGTTAAAACAAAACAACTCTGAAATCTGGTAAAACAAGTATGCACGGTGCTAGGCAGCATTCCTTTCCAGATTTGATAATGGTTAGAAAAGGATTCCAGTTTATATTTCTGATTTGGTATGTGCCCCATTACCTTGCTATACCTCTGTTTAGTCTCTAAGGATGCGTGTACACAGCACCCTAAACTTGAAATAATGTGCTATTTTGAGACATCCCTTAACTCTCATCGAATGAGGGTTACAGGGATGCCTAAATAGCGTGCCCGCTATTTCGAAAAATATTTTGAAATAACAGGTGAGTTTAAAAGATGCTGGGTAGCTATTTTGGGATACGTGCAAGATAAGAATAACATAATTTACAAAGTTCATGGTGGTGTAATGCTGTTTATTCATTAATATTTATGACATTATGTGGATGGAAACGGACAAAGAAATTCCAGGTCTTTATCACACTTTTTGGTTGTGGGCCCCCAAAATTCAGAACTTGCACCACATGGAAATATTAGGTAAAATTCACCTCTAGTAACTCCAATGAAAAGACTAGAGTTTACTAAAGATAAATGTGGCCTAGTATTTTCCTGAGCTTTACATCTCACTATATATTTAAAAAGTTTTTCCTTCTGGGTGACAGAATGACATCATCATGCTCTCACACTCTCTGGCTGCAAAAGTGAGAGATTTGTGCATTTGTCTGCAAGTCCATTTGTTAAAGAACTCTTCTTAAACGGTAAGAGCTCAAACCACCACATTTGGTAGGCAGCTTCCTCTTCTGCTAACTTAAAGCAAAGTCAGTGTTTGTTTGTGCCAGGACAACCAGAAGTGCCAGAAAAGGGACTGTTTTCCATAACATGGAAAGAGAGGGGCTGTTCAGTGGGACGCAAAACAGAGTGGCCACTGGGGGCAGTGAGCCTGCAGAGGAGTGTGTCCATTCGGGGGTCAGTCATGCCACCAAGGGAGTAGGTAGCAGGGCCAAGGCTCCACCATCTTGCCTGCCAGCATACCAGGTAGGTAGCCCCTCTTATCCTAAACCCTTCCTCCCCTCTTCGCCCTTGAAGGGACATGTGCAAGAGAGGAAAGGACCCTGGTGGATTGGATCCCCCTGCCCTGAGCTCCTCTTCACCCCTCTTCACTCCTCAACTCTCACTCTCACCTCCTGACCCCAGCCTCCTGCACTGCTCCCCCCCCATCCCCAAGGTACTGCTCTGACTCCAGAAGGACCTGGGCAACACTGGGTAAGTCTTCTAGTATATTTATAACGGAAAGAAAAAGACACTAGTTCTACAACATGCACCCGCCATGCCGCATGGGATGGTGTTAATGAATGTTTTTATTGTCCAACTTCCCCACCATGATTTCAAAGCTCTCACATATTTAGCACCTGATCTGAAGCCCACTGAACTCAATGGGAGTCTTTCCACTCAGATCAAGGAGATTTGGTTCCCCTTCGTGCATTCAACTTTCCTGATTACTCTTTGCAAATAAACAAATTCTTAATAACCTTTAGACCACCAAAAAGCTATGTGTAAAAGGTCCCAAATATATAGACTATAGTAGCTAATGGTTCATGCAATGTTGTCAGAAAGCAAAACTGCACTGATGACATAAGTTGGTTTTGTGGGAGGCTAGGGTACAATGGGTGCGGCTTGAGGAGCCTGTGCCAAGCAACACCAGGCCACGAGAAAGGTCCCTGCATTAAGATGGTTGCTTTTACCTTTGTAGCATTTCTTCATATCAGGGCCCAGCCACATGTTGTCAGGACAGGCACACGTATACTTGGGGGAATGGATAGAGATTTGGGGTGCGGGAAGACATAAGTATTCACAGCCTCCATTAGGTTGGGAGCTGAGCTCACAGGAATCTGGGGCTATTCAAGATAGGGAGAAAAACAAGCTTATTGTTTCAAACTTTGCTCTTTAGTAAAGAGATCCCTCCCCCATCCCGAATAAGATTCTATTCAAACACTCAAAACCCCTAGGTGTTTTCCATCTTCTAGAGCTCATCCATTTGTATGCAGAAAAGTAGCAATGGCTTAACCATTGAGCACTCCCACTTTCTTCTACTAACTATATGCAACCGTTTTGCTTCATTTTAGACGGTTACAGCAGGGGCTAAGGAGTCAGGACTAGGTTCCATTTTCTGTTATTCCACTGACTTTGAATAAGTCACTTAAGCCACTGTTTCCAAAGTGTCTTCTAATTTTGGCCATCCAACTCAAGATACTTAAAATCTTGCTTTTCAGTGAAGCTGAGGATTCACACTTCTAATACAGAGCTAGAGCTATTCAGCATTTCTGAACATCAGGCCCTAATCTCATACTGGACATATTATAAAAATTCCACTTCACCCTCTGCCTCATTTTAGTTGGCTGCTTAATAACTTTTACTTCACAGGTGGTTTTAAAGCACAAATCATCAGATGAAAGCTTAAAATTGTCTAGTGGGGTTTCCTCTTTACTGCCCAGCACTATAGATCAAATGTTCTCAATTTACAATTACATGTTTTTTCTACCTGCTGGCTCCACACAGTAAATCTGGGATCTGAATGTCAAGTTAGTTGATCACCATTAGTAATAAAAACTCTTCAGCTAGAATTGTGTTAACCATTCTACAGCTGAGACAACCAGGAAAGCATCCAGCTACTCTCTTATTTGTGCAGCCTCTTTGGTGATAACACCAGTAAATAGATAGACTCACTGAGAAAAATGATTGCCCAGAATACAAAAGGGATGCATAGCTACTGAGTAAGAAGGTGCCATTTCATAGCTGTTGTCTCATAAAACCCACAATCTCAAAGCTATCTCCCAGCCCCTTTCTTCCCACTACCAAAACTTATCAAGTTACTGTTAACAGTTCTTCCCAATTCTACATGATACTGCCAAAAACTGTCACCTAAAATGAGCAACAGGTGAATAGGCTGTGCTGATCACTCTAAGACTAGACCTCCTTGATGACAACTGGGAGGCATTTTATTTACCAGCCCAAATGAATGACTAGTATTGGACTATGGGTGCACAAATGCATGCCTTACCTTTTGGCTGCTTTAGCTCATGAAAGACCACAATATCATGAGGGTTATTGAGATTCTCTGCTAAAATGGAGATATCCAGGCCATTCAATCTGTTCGCACTGAAGATTGCCTCATTCTCCAGGTCAGTCCAAAACACCTTATCCTGAAGAAAACACACAGGCATTTTGATTTGAGTAAATGCAAACCCCATCAGGTGTTTCATTCCGGTTTGCTGGTGGCTATTTGGGGCAAGGTTTCCTACATCAGAGCTTTGCACATTAATCAGATGCATGTTAAATGCATGCAAAATAAGCAGATGCTCTGGGCAGAGTATGCCACAACTTCCAAGTCAAGCCAGGCTCATTTGGTAATTTTGCAGTGTGTTCCTGGGCTGTCCTGACACCAGCTGGAGACAGTGGCATTCAGCACGTTGCAGAACAGCACACTAAACAATCTAGAGACAGCCTCTGAGCCTGAGATAATCTTGTCATTTTGTGGTGCTGCCACCATCACACCATGATGCTGGCTTGCCCACCTTTGACTTTGCAACACAAAGATGCAAGCATCTCAGTGTCAGTAAATGGTCACAGATCTGGAGAACAGCGTTTAAAGGTCCAAATGTGCTTCATTCCTTAGAGTACTTGTGGGGCTGTGTGGGAGCAGACCTGGATACAGAGTGGTCGTGCCTTTATGTTTAGTGAAAGAAGAGTTTTTGTATTTCTGTAACTCCCAGTGGCCATGGATTTTGAATAGGAGTTGAAGGAATTTGTTACAAATCTTAATGATCCCTGGTGAAAGTGCAAATGAATGATCTTCCTTCCCTTTCCAAAGATGTGACTTGGCAAAACCACTTCTATTTTTAAAGAATCTAACACTGCCACAATTGATAAACACTAAAGAGAGAGTATTCAAAAGACTCATTTCCCAATTTTTGTCTCCTTCTGCAATAGTATCTTGAGAAGCAAGGGGCACTTTGTAATGATTAATACAGAGTGAGAGAGACCAAAATACCACAAAATAACAGGACACAGTAGGTATGTGAGAAAACACGGTTACTTACCTTTCATAACTGTGTTCTTCAAGATGCGTTGCTCATGTCCATTCCATGTAGTTATGTGCACGCTACATGCATGCACGGTTGGAAAGTTTTTCCCTTAGCAGTACCCGTTGGGCAAGCAGGGTAGCCCCTTGGAGTGGTGCTGCTGTATCAGCTAATGTATACCCCTGCTGGCCCTCCACCCCGTCAGTTCCTTCTTACTGGACTACCCTGATGAAAGGGCGGCAGATGGGATTTGGAATGGACATGAGCAACACATCTCAAGGACCAACAGTTACGAAAGGTAAGTAACCATTTTTTCTTCAAGTGATTGCTCATGTCCAGACAATGCAGAAGGTGGTCAGTCTGCTCTGAGAAAAAGACCTGGACCCTCAAAAGACAGGTCCTGGATTGTGGTCTGGAGTTTGTGGGGAACCCTAGACACCTGTACTCACAAACTACAAAGAAGCACCAAGCCCGTGGCCATAGTATGGGCTGCAGCGTCTGCCGAGTCCAAACTGTTTGCAGGGCCACTCTAGAAACCACCCTTCTCTCCTCTGAGAGGGACCTGAACTCAGAGCTGGAGTCTTGAGGGACAAGCACCATGAACTTGTCCATGGCAGCCCAGGTGCTATAAGCATAGCACCTGAGAAGAACCAGTTGGTTCACTATGCAGCACTGCAGACCTTCAGAGGTGTAGGTCTTCCTACACAGGAGGTCCATCTTGTTTGCCTTCCTGTTTTGGGGGGTTAGGCCCAGCTGATTAACCACCTGTACCACCAAAGACCGTGGGGGAGGATGAGAAAATAAATATTTATTGCCCTCCTGTGGCACAAACTAGCAGCTCTCCACCTTTTTAATCCGTTGATGGGATGGAGGCCGGGATCTGCCAGAGGGTCTAAGTGATGTTAGTCACCATTTTGTTCAAGGGCAAGGCCACTCTGGTAGGGGTTAAAGATATCAACAGTCGGATCCGAGTCCTCCGACACCTGCTCCGCCTGCACCCCCAAACTCTGGGCCAGACATCTAAAGAAGTTCTGGTGTGACCATGAGTCCATAGAGAGCATTGATGATACTGGACCTTATCTGGGGAAGAGGAGGATGACCTTTTCAGGCCGCCTTCCCCTGGTCGTGGCTCTGAGAAGTGACCTAAGAAGCGGCCGATGAGGCCACCGTTGACAGCTCAGCCAGGGGCATCATGCTTTCCGCGGTGGCCCTTGGCGAAACCTGCCTCAGACATGAGCAATCACTCAAAGAAGAACTGAAGACTATTGAGATGGATTTAGTTGTAGAAAGGTGACCTGGCTGATACGTGAAAAAGTAACAATTGCGGCATTTTTTAATAAGATGAAATACATAGCTGTAAGGGGAGGATGGGTTCTTAGGAGTTTATTCAGAAGAGATTGTCTTATATCTTGAGAAAAGATTCAAATGAAGGAAGGGGGTATATCACATATTCTTAGTTAACAAACAATGTAGAAGGGATTCTGCAAATACTGCTGATGTAGTGCTTAATTCAAAGCACAGTCCCATTAAAATCGCCATGGTTATGCATGACAATAAGCACACCAGCATAGTACATGCTTGCAGCTGAAGCTCTTAATTTTGTGATGAGTTTGAATCCTTCATCTGACAGGACTGTGTACCAGAGTAGGGCCAACTCAGCTTGAAAGAGAAACATCTAGACTTGTTTAAATTGGGTAAGTAAATGACACGTTCCCTAAGGTCACATCCTGCCATTGGACAAGTAGACTGGCATTCTCAATTCTTCCCCTCTAACACCACTGCCAGCTCCCACAGGATTTGTGCAAATTTCTACCTGGGTGCACTGATGCGTGTTGCAGACTGTCAAGCAGTAACATACAAGACTGTGCAAACAATTAGCAGCCTGCCTGGCTGAGGAAGGAGCACATGCTGCATGGGCCTGGGAATACGCAAAGCACTGAACTCACAGGGGGGATGGACTGTTAGAAGAGTGCAGAGAAAACTGCAGGGTGAAATTCAAAGCCATTGGGAATGTGGCACATAATTCCCTGACGTACACCCCGGTGAGAAGATGCCCAGTGTCCAAAGAGCTTGATCCTAACAGTGTACTTAAGCACCTCCTGTGAAGCTCTCACAGTTTTATCTCACAGGAGATGCTCACTCAGCAGGATCAGGCTGTTGGTGAAAGGCTTATACAGTCATAGCAAACCGCCTGTGATTTGGCTATTACACAAGCAGTTAACATGACCAACCAAATTACGTCATTATCCCACTTCAGTTATGCAGGCGGCACCAGGTTAGGCAGGGTGCTCTGCGAAAGTAATGCATTACGTACCAGCATTTGGCTGACGACAACTGGTGGTGAAGGGAGACTCCTTGCTGAACTCACACTGGACTAGAGGCTTTTTCCAGCTGCTGACACATCCCATGAACTTTCTGTGCCATGTACAGAGGCACAACTTTCAATCCAAAGGGGTGTAAAAAGAGATCCCATGGGGTCCTGTACTCCCCAGCCAGCTCTGCACCCATCCCTCTCTCTTACCTCAAACACTGCTAGTCCAAAAGGATGGCTCAGGTCATCAGCAGAAGAGATGAGAACTTTCCTATTGCTGCCGTTGAAGTCAATGCTTGACAGTAAGTGCAGCTTGGAGTCTACCCAGTAGAGACGCTGATTCAGCAAGTCTGAGACAGGAAACATGATGAGGCAGAATTACTGTCCATGCAACAACAGCACTTTTTGCTATTACTCAGTATTTTTCCTGTTGGAAGCGTCTACTTGTCCTGGGGCTGCTGAGCCCTTTTGATTTATTATTGTGGTTGTAACTTTGGTCTCTGCCCAGAGACACTGAACCAGGCGCACATAACTAATACGCTGTTCTGTGTGTGTAAGAGATGCTAGATTGGCTGCCGGGATAGTGAAGCAGTCCCCTCTCTGATCAAACAGAGCAGGCCAGGGTCCTTGCTGGCTTCCCAGCTCCACCTCAGCAATGCGCCTCAACTCTGGGCTCATCTTCACATACAGTGCTGGAGTGGCCACTCTGGCACGTTAGTGAAGATGAAGCTACACCGGGGTGGGCAAACTATGGCCCACAGGCCGCACCTGGCCCATCACACTTTTTAATTTGGCCCTCAGACTCTTGCCATTGAGCAGGGCTGAAGCCTTGCCTTGCTCCAAGCACGCAACAGCTCTGTGTGGGTCCTGGAAGCAGGGTCTTCATGCTGCCCCCGCCCCAAGTGCCAGCTCTGCAGCTCCCATTGGTCGAGAACCATGGCCTATGGGAGCTGCAGAGGTGGTGCCTGGAGAAGGGGCAGTGCGCAGAGCCATGCGACCCTGCCTCTGTATAAGAGCCAGAGAGGGGATGGACCACTGCTTGCAGGAGCCACTTAAGGTGAGTGCCAGCCCTGCATCCAAGACTTCCTGCATTCCAACTCCCTTCCCTGATCACCCTCCTTCCCTTCAATCCCAGTCAAGCACAGCTTCCTGCACCCCAAACTCCTTATCCCCACCCCAGAGTCTGCACCCCTAGCTGGAGCTTCACCCTGCCCATGGCGCTCCAACCCCGTCTGAGCCCTGATCCTGCTCCCCAAACCCTTCCATCCCAGCCCAGAGCACTCTCCTGTACCCCACTCCCCTCATCCTCAACCCAACCCCAGAGCCTGTCTCCTCAGCTAAAGCTATTGCCCCCCCATACATCCCAATCCCATATCACAGGCCCTCAGAACCCCTTGACCCTAGGCTAGAGCATCCTCCTGCACCCTGATCTCCTCACTTCTGGCCACACCCCAGAGCCCACTGCCCCAGGGCTTCCCACAAGCCAGATTTGCTCTTTTGGGGTTCAAGGGGTTAGTGAATTTTTCTGAGCCCCCCTAGGCTCTGGGATGAGGCCAAAAATGAGGGGCTCAGTGTGCAGAAGGGGGCTGCCAGGGAGTGGGATAGGGATGGGGGTGCAGGAGCGGATGAGGGACCTGGGTGGGAGAAGTAGGGTGAAGGAGGGAGTGAGGGTGTGACTGAGGCCATGATTCCGGCCAATGGGAGCAGTGGGGGAAGTCCCCAGGCAGTGCATCTGTGCGTTGCTGTTCCCCCAGCTTGGGGGAGTGGAAACAGCAGTGCACAGAGCCACTTGCTTCCCCTGCAAGCCAGATCCCACAGCAATGCTCGGGGCTTTCTCCCCCCGCCACGGGAAGCGGGTGCTGGTGTCCATCCTCCAGCCTTGAGCCACAGCCCACCTGCAAAGTGGCTGTGGACCACTACTGGTCCATGGACTGCAGCTGGAGAACCACTGGTCTAGTGGTTCGTATTTTCCATCACGTTCATGTCAGATTCTCGATTGCAATACTGACCAGGGCTATGCACAGTGTTGATCCAATGTATTACTGATTCGTTTATGGCCAGACTGCCAACTGCTCTGCAAGTTCACAAGAAGCTTCCTCTCCTTGTGCAGAAGCAGAGCACAATTTCAGTCCCTCCTTGTGCCACCAGGATGCAAGACACCAGAGACAAAGGAAGGACATGGCGCTGTCCCTGTACCACCACCTGGACTGGTAGGCAGGGGCAGTGTGCTGGTAGCAGTCAGACATTCCCCTTTCATGCCAGGAAGCTCCATAAGGAATTCTGTTTCCATGGGATTCCCATGGATGGGTACAGCTCTGCACCATCTCCAGTGCATGGCTGTATCTTACAGTCCCATGTAAGCCCTTAAGCATCACAGCACAATTATATGGCACTTTTATAAACGAGGAGTCAGTCACCTCCCTCGCCGAAGACCAGCCATCTAAGCTTGGGATCCTGTCGGCTTTCAGTGACTAGCACAGGGCTTGCTACTGTGATTACACTACTTATCGTCACAAGCTGTCAGCTAGTCAGTGAGCGTTGCCAGGACTGCGCCTTACAAGGAACAAGATAAAATGTGGGTCAACAGTTCAATTAAAGGAGGATAGGAAGGGCAGGAGACGCAACTTACTGATAACCTGACTCAGTGAAACCAGACATCACGCTACACCATGAGCCTCTGTATTAGAGGGGACTGTTGCTGGCCGCTTGATGCTCATTACAACAAAGCAGCCTGGATTTTCAATGATTTGAGCTATCACTGAGCCAGCGACTTACCTAGGGTGATGCCATTAGGCCACTCGATATTGTCTGTAACCAGCACTCGCCGATCCATACCGTTCAGGCCAGATTTTTCAATTTTTGCTTTGTCTCCCCAGTCAGACCAGTACATGTACCTGGAAGAGCCACAGAAAGGACAAGTCACTAACTCATCCTAAATGCAGAGGTGCCCCTATTCCAAGATACCTGTGTACACTTTGAGTAGGGTGTTGTAAATCCAGAAGTGGGATACTCTTTTGCACGTGTTAGGCCTTTGCTATTCTAATCCATTTTAACATCTCTGCCATGGAGCCGATGGGTTCCTACTATATGTTCTAACCTACAGCGTACTGTACTGCAGCACTATATTATACCAGGGCTTAAAAACATTTTTTTGTGCATGTGAAATAGCTCTTGGGAATTCTGCTGGCTCTTTGGCCTATGTCCAGCACTAAAAACATGCTCTTTCAGCTAACATGCGACAAATTACCTCCATTTTTCACACAAATCACACCCTGGTTTAAACTGGACCAGCACATCCCCAGTTGACACAAACAGTGCAAAAGAATTTGAGACATAATTTCAAAGCTGCTTGTAAATTATGTCCCGAGAACTTGATGCTGCAAAGATTTACACATGTGTTTTAACTTTCAGCATGTCAGCAGTCCCCCTGAGTTAAATGGAATTATTCACATGCTTAATGTTAAGTAGATTTGTACGTATTAGCAGGACGGGGGCCAGAGGCTGAGAACATGTGAGGAGTGAAAGCAAGACTGGAATGTGCCAGCTTGAAAGCATGATGCAGAACTCCATCTTCACACCTACCCCCGGGTTGGATCCACTGCTATGGCCCTGGGCTCACTTAGGTCAGTGCTGAAGAGTGTCGTTCTCCTGCTTCCATCAGCGGTAGCCACAGAGATGGTCTTGTTTCCTGAATCTGTCCAGTAGATGTTCTTGTGAACCCAGTCCATTGCCAGGCCTTCGGGGGAGTTCAGCTGACTGTCTATCAAAATCACCTGCTCGGCAGTGTCACTGGCTTTGTCTATGTAGGCACTGCAAAGACAGGAATCATCACTGAAGCCATTCACATGCAATAAGGGCCAGTACAGACATGCAGGTGGAAAAGCTGCAGCCTTACATGAAGGAGGAAATGACTTCCAAAGAGATGAACTCTGAGCAACCTACTGACATAGGACACCAACACAGAATGATCTCAGACTTCCTCACTGTTGTAACCTTTCATCTTTCATATTCTCTCCCCTCCCTTTTACTTATGGTTACCCCCTTCTTCTGTCATAGCCATGTGGATTGTGAGCACTTCAGTTTGTTTTAAAGCTCTGTGCACACTTTGTGTCTGACAGGAAGGCCTTTAAGCATGTGACTTTAACAGGCCTTAAGCACCTGCTAAAAGTTAAGAGCATGCTTACATGAACTGATGATTAGGGATGAACTTTAGCACATGCTAAAAGATAAACACACACTCGTGTGATGCTGAGTTAGGGCCCATGTGTTTTCCATCAACAAGCAGCTTAGCAAAAGGACTCAGTTATGAGAGCTGGGGGAGAGGGTTAGACACTGTTAGTCAATTGACCTATTAGTCAATTCTGCCAGGGTACATTAATATCAGTGGCAACTGGTGTTCTATGTAAGCCGTACGCTTGAGTGGCCACCCAAAAAAGATTAAGGTCCTGCCCACCTGATTAGTAGAGCACCCCCAGCTGCCTACAATCAGCCCCCACAGTTACAACAGGAAACAGTATTCTAACATTCTGTCCCAAACTGTTGTGAATGAGAGTGAAAGCACGCTGCTAAATGTGGCTACACTGCAGCAGTGAGCAAACATATCCACATGTGCAGGGTTCAGAAAATGCTTTAGGAGACTGCCGAATGAAAGGCTCCTGGTACGAGTTGACATTTTCTGCACTCCAATGTCTCCCTCAGCTCTTGACAGCCGGGCTGCTTTGCTCACTCTTGCAGCTCATAGAGGCAGAGCGGTGTTTTGGTGCCGCCACTCTGGCCGTGCCCATTCTACTCCTGCTTACGGCCAGATTCTCTGCCTTGTGCAGAGAGCAGTTTCAGAGATCCTGCCTTCTCATTGCTTTTACTACTCCTTTGGGGCAGCGCTGTTCTCCCGTATTAGCCCCTGCTTTCCCCGGACGGTGGAATACATCCAGCACCTTTGCTGCGATGCCTCTCTGCTGGCTCCTCTGCACCTTTTACATATTCCTGGGTAGACTAAAAACCACCAACTCCAAATAGTGCCCCTCTGAGACTGCCGTCCTGGGCTCAGCAGATGTTGAGTTGTGCCTAGCCTGCTTCCAAACATTTGTCCCTAACTCTGTGAGGTCCCGAGGCAACGAATCAGACAGGCAGGTGGGATCCCCTACCCACGTGATCACTGTGACTCTAATGTGGGAAAACCGGAGTAGGAGTCTCTGGGCAGAGAGGGATGAGGAGGATCCTAATCAGCTGACGCAAGAGATAAGTTTCAAGGGGCCTCTAGAGAACAAAGAAGGGAGACTTGCTGGGTCACTAATCCACTTCCAAGTCTGAAAATGGGTGCTGAGGGGGGCCTGTGATTGGGGTCACACACAGGACCGACACCCTGGGAGATGAGAGATGGCTTGAACACACTGGGAACACACAGGCGAGGCAGGTAAGGACACTAAGCTTGCCTCAGCCAGGTGAATACTATAAAGATGGTTCCAGGGGCATGCTGGACCCATCCTTCTCTGAAGTGTTCTGGGACCTCTCAGCCCTGCTAGTACCCTAAGAGTTTTTTGCCTCCTCAGTACTGAGTCAAGAGATTGAGGCATACTTAGTGGGAGATCGGGGCCTTTTGGGAGGCAGCTCCTTGTGATGGGAGACCGAGTTTCTCTTCTTCTGAGTCCTCCTTCAGACTTCAGACCTCGAAAGTCTTCACCTTCCTAGGAGAGACCTCAGCCAAGGTCAGAGGGATATAACATCTGTCTAAAGACAGATATATGGGAGTTTTCTGACCTGACTCAGAAGCAGGTTGAAGGGACTTCTCCATCACCAGAGGCTTCAATTTGGTCTCCTGATTTTTCCATGCTCTGAATTTGACAGGCAGGTAAAGGAGTTACACTTTTGGGAGAAATGGACTCTTTCAAGCCATGGATCCATTTAGAGTGGCCACTGCTGACTGAGACAACCTTCCAATAAGAGAGGCAGCATTTGAAACCTGCCATGCCCAGCCAGGCCAAATAAGCTCCTCAGAAAAAGAGGAGGAAAAATGGAGAGGGAAAATCCCCCAAATCTCTCATGATTAACTAATTATCCTAACCTTAACCAGAACTAATGAGAAACACTAACGTAACTATAGAACAACTGCAAAACACGCCGAGGCATGCACATGCAGATATGCTAGATCTCCATCTCAAGAGGAGGTGGTAAAGAAGGACTTTGGGGCAGTTTGCCCATGCAGCCCTACTTCCTGGGAGAGCAGCACATGGCTGCACAGAGCGCATGCACAGGCTGAATGCACACTGCTAACAGAAAATCTTTCATCAAGCACTTCAGAGGCACATGCACACCTGAAGTGCAGCATTCAGAGACACTAATACTTTAGAAGAACTAAACCTTCTAAAGAGACTCCTGAAACCCCAGAGAGACAAGTGAATTAAACTGTTTTAAGCAGAAACCTGCCTTGTGCAGCAAGTGACTGTGGGACATCTCTTCCCCAAGAGAAAAATCAGGGAAAGACAAGGAAATCGGGGTATAAGAAAAGGGAAGAGGCAATGAAGTGGAAATCATGTGCTCAGTGAGTATGAGTTAGAAAGAGTCTCTCTTGCCAGTCCTTTTCTTATTGGATGCAGAACAAGCCAAGCCAGTTTGCAGCAGTGACGTGAAATCACACCACCATCAAATCTGGTCAGAGGGCAGGTAGCAGTGATGCATCTGTCTCTGGGCACAGCCATGCGGCAGAGCCTTTCATTGACCCTACATGTGATGGCTGGCTGCACACTGACCCTGGCCTCTTCAAAATCAGTCCAGAAGGGACCGCTAAGCAGCCTGGCAAATCAAAGCTGGGTACACACACAGTTGGGGCAGTGATGAGAGTGGTCCCTGATGCTGGCTGCAAACCATTCCTCATGCCACACGTTCCGCAAAGACATCTCGGCAGGGCATGGAACAGCCAGTGGGTGCCTTTATGGCAAGTATGCTCTCTGGATGAACCAAGACTCCTGTGTGTGTGGCTCCTGTTTGCCCTGATCTTCTGAAACATGTTGTAGCGTCCTGTCATGCGGCAGACACTCACCACCACGGTGCCTCCTGGTGGTACCACTGGGAATTAGCTTGGAAGCAGGGCGCCTCCCTCTGGTGGCTGTCTTTCTGTGTCCTCACGTCACACTCTGGCTCGGACCCACATCACTCTTACACTGCGGGAGCCTCTTCAGGACACTGCCCTCTGGCCCATAATTATTTACTATCCCACTAATTTATTGCATCTCGGATTAATTATGGATCACTGCCACATTCTGTGGGGAACTGTAGAGTTCACTACCGTCTCTTGCATGAGCCATATTAAATATCAGTGCAGATAACTTTTCTGTTTAAAGTAGTGACAACAGCTAATAGGTGATTAGGACACAAAAGCTCATTGTGAAGAAGATCTAAGGCTCGTGGAGAAGCTAACACGAACAGAAGTAAAAGAGACAAACGTCCTGCTGCTTAGACAGAGAACAAACCCTTGATGTAGCCAGGGGAAGGGCATAAGCACTGATCTGAGGACCTAAACTTTGGAGGTATTCACTGCCAGTGTGCTTCAGAAGTAGCAGTGTGTGTTAAGTAATTTTCTGTGTATGAAAGTGTAACCCTAACCCATCCCAGCTACACGTTTTCTAGACAGTCAGACTTCCAGAGTGAAAGCAGCCAGCGTCCATTCCAATAAACTTCCTATTTTCACTGCCCTCGAGTGCTCACAGGGCTACTTACACACTTGGCTCGCCACTACATTACCTCATCACAGCTTGGGCAAATTTCCCTACCACTGGAATCTGAGCTACTGCAGCCTATAGACTCCCTGTAGCTCTGCTACTTACTGAACCTAGTAAACCCCCCTCTGATCATTAGCTGAAAACCAGCACAAATCACTACAGATGCTGCAATAGGGTACAATACCAATGCAAATCAGAGTGCACCAGAGGGAGGTTGGGTGCATAAATTAAATGCAGCTGCACTTTTTGATTAAACACACTACTAGCAAACGAATCTGGATGCTGTATTCCAGTGACATGCAGACTCATGGTTTTGGCAGGTGCCTGTTATATACAATGGGGTCAGGTGCAGAAATCCCTCGGGAGGGGGAGAGAGTGGAAGAAAACAGGGCCTAGCTTAAGGCACTGGACCAGAGTCTAGGAGACATGACTCTGTGGATCTGCCACAAACATCCAGTGCAAGGTTGGGCAGGTCCCTTGGGGCAGTATTCACAGTGGAGACATAAGCGTTGCAATGCTGAAAGTTGCAGCACCTGGCTTTTCGGTGCCTGGCTGCTTGGGGGAATTCACAACCTCAAGGTAGGCGCCCACTCAGGCTCCACATACAATGTACAAGGAGAGTCAGGCACCTTTGAATGGGATTCACAAAAACCAGCCAGCTGAGTGGGGAGCTGTCTAAACCAGCCATAGAAAATACTGTGGAAAAGGGGCGTGGCCTAAGCCCTGCCCTGCAAACAGAGTTACCTGCCTAACTTCAGGCCTCCCTCTGCTCACAGCACAGCTGTAAACCCTCTCCTGCAGGCCCAAGCACCTAACTCTGGGAGAAACACTTGAAATATTCACTGGAGCAGGGTCTGGAACCTGGGTCTGCCAGGAAGTGTCCTAATCACTCAACTACACAGTCCGGTTACTGGTTAAACATTTCATACACAATGGAGCAGCTTCGGCAGGTGTCTGCTAGAATCACAAAAATTGTCCTTGTCATCCCAGATCAGGTATTGCACATGCAGGTCATGTGCCTATGCATTTTGGTAGGTCCACTGAACACCTGGGCCATCATGTGTAACCAAATAAAAAGACCCAGAGGGGCTAGCGGTGTTTAAAAACAGCGTGTAGTCCCGTGGTACCTTAGGGCTTGTCTACACTATGGAGCAGATTGACGCTGCCGCAGTCGATCTTCCGGGGTTCGAATTACCAGCAGGACCATGAATGTTGCTGAATGAGAGTGCCTCGGGGCAGGAGGGCCAGCTGCTGAGATCCCTACACACGGCAAGGCTGGTGGTAGCGGGGCAAGGGCTTCAGCAGCCTGGAAGCGGGAGCAGGGCCATGGTAGTGGGGCAGAGGCAGCTTGGAAGCAGGAGCAGGGCCAGGGTAGTGGGGCAGAGGCAGCCCGGCAACCCAGCTGGGGGCCACGCAGCCTGTGCGTGCCAGCCCATCAGCGGGGTTGTGCTGCAGTAGCCCAAGAGGGGCTGGGTGCTGGCCAGCAGTGGGGACAGCAGCCTGGTAGGCAGTAAGGCTGCAGCAGTGAAAGCCCGTCTATGACCGTGGCAGCAGAGCCAGAGCCGTGGCCACACCCACTGAAGCTGTGGCAGGTCAGCAGCCCAATGAGGGCTGCATGCCGGCCAGCGGCGGGGCCAGAGCTGTGTGCTGCCATGCTGGCAGTGCAGCTGGAGCAGCAGCTGCACCAACAGGGCCAAGGCACCTGTATTGCCCGTCTGGCAATGGGGCCGAAAGAGCTGGTAGCGGGGAGGGGCAGCAGGCTGAGGGGGCTGGTGGCAGGGCTCCTTCCCTGGTCCGGCAAATTCCCTCATTTGGGACCACTCAGGTCCTGAGGGTGCTGGACCAGTGAGGTCCATCCTGCCGTGAGTTTAGCCAAGACCTGCTAATTTGAACTGAGAGGGAACTCCCATCGGCGTCAGTAGTTCTGTTCCTACAAGAAGAAAGGGAAGTTGACAGGAGCGTGTGCTCCCACTGACCCCCCCGCTTGTGTGGACAGCGTCAAAAAGCGATTTAAAATCCTCTGACTCCAGTTATGTAACTAACGTTGATGGAGTTGCGCATCGTAAGTCGACTTTCCCCTTTAGTGTAGACCTGGTCTTAGAGACTAACAAATATTTAGGTTTACGAGCTTTGGTGGGTAAAACCCACTTCCTCAGATGAGTAGTAAATAAAAAGAGACACTCTGTGGTCCTATGGACAGATGTTACTCACTATGCCAGCGTTCAATAGAATGGGTGCATCCTTACAGAGCATCATTACTATTACTAGTATAAAAGGAACCATACTATGAACCATACTATACTATGAACCTCACACCTGCCCTGGCCCATTACCTGTAGATCTTTCTGTAGAACAAATCACACCAGTATATTCTGTTTGTTGCCACCTCCACATCCAAAGCCACCACATTCTTCAGCATGGGGATGAGCCGAGAGTAGTCCTTTTTCACCAGATCTATCTTACGTACCTCATGGCGGTTGGTGAAGATCAGATATGGACTCTTGCCTGTCACAGAAAACAAACAGGCCTGGCTGTAATTTCACCAGCTGACTCGACAGCAGACGTCTAAGTGCCACGTCCCGCGCTCACTGTGCATGGCGGGACACAGAGTGATCTCACTGAAGCCAATGCAATCGTGCTGCCTAATTATTTGCAGTTCTAGCCTCCAAGGGAGTTTTACCATGTACCAGAAGAAATGTCACTGGTTCCTGGGGGGCAGCTGTTCCAAGAGAACGTGAAGAGTCTGAGCAGCAGCCACCTTTGCTTTTGTTCCGCCCCACTAGCTAAGAAGTCAGAAGAGAAACACTGAGGGGTTTCTTCACACTCCACTATGGATTTGCAGCTGGGAGGTGTAGGTCAGATTCTGGATGCTCATGCCTGGATGAGCGAGGGGGCTGGAGGTGAATAGGCACAGACATCTCTCCCCAGCTTGCGTGCAGGGGGCAGGCAGAAGGCTCCTTGGGGTGGCGTTGCCTGAGTACACAGTGCACAGGACATTACCGTGCCCAAGCAGACGGGACTGTGCCTGGCCACCAGAGCGGGGTACTGCAGACTGCATGTGTGGCGCCTCCTAACACGAGGGGTAGGGAACACCCTTGAGTGTGCTCCAGCAGAGCTCTTGGAGCAGGGATGAGCAACCTGGGCCCGTGGCCACATGCAGCCCATGGGGGTTTTATGTGCAGCCCACGAGACATTGTTTATTGTTGCCCACATGCAGGGAAGCCAGATTCCGCTGGTTTCCACCTGCGGTGGAAATTCCTACAGGTATTACTAAAGTGACACACGTGTAAAACCAAGGCACATGAAGTGAGGTGTGTGCAACTGCACACAAAGCTGCCTGAGAGAGCCGTGTGCCTCCTTGGCATCCAATCAAAGTGCTGCAACAGACCAATAAGCACAGCCCGCAAAGTCTAGGTATGCAAGCGTAGTTAGCAAAACCACCCTATTTCAGGAGACCGTCTTTTGGTTCTGATAATCTTGTGGCCCACTGAGATGAAGGAGGGCCACTCAATAGCCTTGATTATCTGTCACTATCTTGGAGTTACTCAGCTGGTTTCTGCCCTTTGCAGGCATGAAGCCTCGCGTCCCGGAAACTCATGTCAAATGCAGTGACTGTGGTTGTGGTATGGAGGGGTGAGCACTGCTTGAAAAGAGTAAGCTCTGGAGATATGTGCCATCTGTGTTCCTCAAATGCGACAGGAGTAGTGCAAAATTCTGCACATTTTCAGTGTGTTGATCTTTGGCCCATGACCTCAGCTCAGGGGATCAGGTACAAAAGTGAAGATGCTTGCTATATTAGAGCAAACTAAACAAAAGCTATACAGGCAGTCCCCGGGTTACGTACAAGATAGGGACTGTAGGTTTGTTCTTAAATTGAATTTGTATGTAAGTCGGAACTGGTACATATTGTAGGGGAAACTCTAGCCAAACATTTCTCCAGAGCTCAGTTTTATTCTCCCACACCTCACTTCCTTCAGTCCTTTATTCTCAAGCTGAGGTGTCTGCTGAGAAAAGCCGCTCCGCGTCTCCCTGGTCTGCTGGGGGGAAGCAGCTAGTGCGGGGTTGCCTCACCCCGTTTGTAAGTAGGGATCTGATGTAAGTCAGATCCATGTAACCCGGGGACTGCCTGTAATGCAAGTAGGAGTGAGCAAAATTTAAAGATCATTTTAAAATGGGCTTTTCAGAGAGCCTGAAGGTGAGTATTTCACTTGAGGTTGATGGTGCTTAAAGCTGCGAGTTTCTCATGGAAATCCCAGATTCTATGGCTTTTCGGGATCTCAGTGACTTCTGAAGCAACTGACATGACAGCCCCCTGAGCAGCTTGGGCAGATCCTGGGCCAGGTCCATCAGTTGTTTCTGGAGCAGTCTTGGGTCACTGCACCTACCCTTCCCCAGAAACTGCAGGAGTCTGGGTGTGGGAGGGGGCATGGGTGCGGAAAGAAGTAAAGCTCTGGGCAGCGCTTACCTTGGGGGCTCCCTGGAAGCAGCAAAATGTGCCTCTCTCATCTTCTGGCTCCATGCACTGCCTCCACCCACAGGCACTGCACCCGCAGCTCCCATTGGCTGCAGTTCCCAGCCAATGGGAGCTGCAGAGCCAGTGCCTGGGGCAGGGACAGTACACAGAGGTAGAAGCTAACGGAGGAACATGTCACCACTTCCAAAGAGTGGAGCAGGGAGCCTGCAAATAATTCATAGCCCCGCAAATTCCTGAGTATTACCTGATGAAGGGTCTGCTATTGCTCTTGTTTTTCTAGTTCTGTGATTTTGTTTCTATCGATCACAAAGTTATTAAAACTCACAGTCTCTCTGTGTGTCTCACCAATTGTCATCATAATTAATCACTAGGCGGTTCCCAAAGAACAAGCCTGTTATTAGTGACAAGTGCATTCCACACCTCAAATTAATCATAAGGCCTCAAGAGAGAGCTTTGCTTCAGTAAGGACTGCACAATTTAGCCCAATGTTTCCCATTTTAAATGATGTGAGGTCACTTCCCAAAAGACTTGAACTGAGAAGAAACTATTTAAGGAAAAACTGAGTTTACTGGAATTTTTGTAGGGTGGGTACCCACCTCCTACTTGGAGACAAAGCCACCCTGCGCCTTGGAGGATGGATGGGATAGAGAACACTAGGATTGGGAAAAGGAGCTATATAGGAGAAAGCTGAAAAAAAGGTTTTTTTGGAGTTCTAAAAATATGAGCTTCCTCAATCCAACCCCAAGCCTGATAGGGCTCTCCCACCAGGCACTCTGGCTTTAAAGCTGCCTCGCAGAGACCCTGAAAAGCAGGAATTTCTGACCAGGAGCAAAAGGTGGGTCTGAGAACAACCCAGACCCGACAACTCCAGCTGCCCCCATAGGCTGTGTCCAGACTCAGGGTTTTTTTCGGGAAAAGTAGCCTTTTCCCGAAAAAACTTCCCCTGCGTCCAGACTCAAGCCGCGTTCTTTCGAAATTAATTCGAAAGAACGCGGCTTTTCTTTCGATGGCGGTAAACCTCAATTTACGAGGAAGAACGCCTTCTTTCGAAAGAGGAACTTTCTTCAATGTAAATAGGCCGTCTTCGAAAGAGAGCATCCAGACTCGCTGGGTGCTCTCTTTCAAAAAAGCAGATTTCTCTTTTGAAAGATCCGCCTGCAGTCTAGACGCGATCTTTCGAAAGAGGCTCTTTCGAAAGATGCTTTCTAAAGACCCTCTTTCGAAAGAGGCTTGCAGTCTAGACATAGCCATACAGCTGAAGGAAGGGTCCCGGCCTGTACATAAGGTCTGTTGGATGTACAGGCAGTCCCCGGGTTACGTACAAGATAGGGACTGTAGGTTTGTTCTTAAGTTGAATCTGTATGTAAGTCGGAACTGGCGTCCAGATTCAGACACTGCTGAAACTGACCACCAGTTCTGACTTACATACAGAATCAACTTAAGAACCCCAGGCGTCCCCAAGTCAGCTGCTGCTGAAACTGATCAGCAGCTGATTCCAGGAAGCCCGGGGCAGAGCAACTCTGCTGGCACCGGAGCAGCGAGAAAGCCCCGTTCGTAAGTGCGGATCCGACGTAAGTCGGATCCGCGTAAGTCGGGGACTGCCTGTATATGCAATAACATGTCACTTACTTTTGAGATATTTTCTGCAATCTGGTAGCTAAATATTTATTTAGTTTTAATTTATTTATTCTTCTTTGAAAACCATGTTCTTTCGAAATCAGTTCACCTTATCGATAATTTTAAGTTCTGCTAGTGATTAAATTTGTATCTAGTTAAAGGGATGGGGACCTATGGCCCAGCATGCGGCATGTCTTGATCCGGCCCACGAGGCTTGGGCTCTCTCTTCCCACAACAGAGCAAGCCAGAGCTGGCTTGTCCTGCTATGGAGTCCGGAATCCCAAGCGTAACAGGCTGGATCAATGCAAGTTACAGGCTGCATCGGGCCCACGGGCTCTGCCTAGCAGGGGAGAGGAAGTGGTTCTTCATTCTGATGTCATCCCCTACTCCCTCTGGCTGGGGAAATGGCAGCTCAGAGAAGCTCTGGTCATGTGCTCACATGCGGTTCTACCACAGGGGAATGGTCAGAGGCCATCTGGGGGACCACCAGCCATGCAACTCCTCCCCCAACACAGGGAAGGGTCAGGACCATTCCTCTTCACCTCTGCTTCTGAGGCTTTGCTCTGGCAAAGCCTCAGAAGCGCGGGAACCCGCCCGGTGCCCCTGGTCTGCTGGAGACGGTCTCCAGCAGACCAGGGGCACCAGAGCAGCTTACGAACGGGGCTTTCTCGCCCCGACTTCCGGGGCGAGAAAGCTCCGTTCGTAAGTGCGGATCCGACGTAAGTCGGATCCGCGTAAGTCGGGGACTGCCTGTACTGACTTTAAGGACTTTTTATATGCAGTATATTAGTATAAGAAGAAAACGTATCTGGAATTTCCAGGGCAACTTCACGGAGCCAGCTCCCCCCGGGAAATCACTCCCCTGAAAGCCAATCCCTTCCACGAAATGAGATTTAATGTGGCTGATCCTACACCTTTTCAGATACAACTTTCCAGCTTCTTGACATTAGCATATTTTCTTTTGCACGGAGCTGAGACGTTTGTTTCTTCTAGAGCACGTGAGCTGCTGCTCTGGTTTTTTTGATTCGTTTCAGAGTTTGGAGAGAGGTGGGGGATGGGTCTGCTGGCTAACCCACCTATTTCTAATTGTGTTGCTTTTTTCTTATTATTACTTAATTTTCGCTGCACTGTTTTTAACACCTGTCAAGAGACTTTCCTTTTTAGTCTCAGCTTCAAACAGCCAACTGGTGACTGTAATCTCGAGCTGCACACACTGTTAAAATATTCTGATCTGTATGATGAGCGGAGCGGTTGCCTCGAGACACATCTGCTATCACTGTAGCAGTTCTGTGTGGTTTGAAACGACTGCCATTTGGCTTTTCATTTTCCTTTTGTCTCCTTTTCCTGAACCCTTGGCTTACACACCCATGTTTCTTTATAACGCTCACACTGCTGGGTCAGCTGGGTTTGAGTGCTTGCTGGGGTTGCCTTACCTACGGCTTTGCAGTTCTTGGAGAGGGTGTCCATCTCGTATCCCTCGTAGCATTCACATTTGTAGTCCCCCTTGTAATTAATGCATCTCTGGCTACAAGCGTCTGGATTCTCACATTCATCTATGTCTGAAAGGAGCGTTTGAAACCCATCAATAACTTGAAATCAAACCATCTGTGATGGAGCAATGCTGTAGTGACTATAATTACGTCTCTGTACAGTGAAACACAAGAGACTGCTGTTTGCATGTAAATTACCTCCACACGTTTTTTTATCCAGAAGCTTGTATCCGGGAGGGCATTCGCATTCATAACCGATCTTCAAGTCTTTGCATATGTGTGAGCACCCACCATTGTTGATCGAGCATTCGTTTTGGTCTAAAAAGAGGCATACAGATTATTTAGTATAAAGGAGGGTTTTTAATCCAAAGGCTGAGCATATTAAAATGGGCAGAGGTACCCAGAAATGTTTCAGTAGCTACCAGCTGCTGGTGGTTGGAAGCCAGCACATTAGTGACTTCACAAATAGGAAACACCCACCAAAATATTATCTTTCCCTGTGTCACTCCAAACTGACATTTTAAAGCCCCTTTGACTAGACACCAGAAGCCCAAAATGACTATGCAAATCAGAGGCACTGGGGATATTGTACAAAATTCTTCGGTCCCCAGCTCCCATCCAGTCATGAGTCTTTTGCTTCCATGCATTAACTGTCAAGGCATCTGGGAATTATCCCCATTTGACTTCCTCCTCTCTTTACCATGGTGGCATATACCAAACTGTTTTCTTGAGCTGTAATAATCCATTCTGAGAGAGTCAACTGACCCAAGTGTCCCAGCTAACTGGGGAGAGTCTATATGGTTTTAGTCATTCCCAGCTAATACTTAGGGGAAATCTATGCTTAGAGAGCTTCAGCATATACCAAGGTACAGTCCTTTGGAGATATTCCCACCTAATACAGATGTTCAGTCCGTACACTGACAGTCTGACAGCTGTCAGCCAATCTAACTCATATGTACAGTCTATATGTACAGTCTATACTAGGGATATAAGAGTGTAGCCATTTAAACTGCTAACCAATGTGCATGAGCTTATCGGTTACCCAAAGAGTTACACGTGGCTCCTGGTCTGGCTCCCAGAAGAGGGGCATCAGGCAGGAGCTGGTACTTGCCTGGAGCCAGCTTAAAAACCAGCTCTTGGCATGCACTGGCTCCCGGGGAGCTGCCTGTCACCCCATACTGCTGCCTCAGATACAGAGGTAGCAGTGCGGGGTGGCAGGCAGGGCGCCCACACCCCCCCCCCCGCGCGGGGGCCCCAGCCCCTATCTCCCACCCCCAGGTCCCGCACTGCTGCTTCTGTATCAGAGACAGCAGCATGGGGCAGCAGCCGGGTCCTGGGGTGGCAGGCAGGAGTGGATGCATGCTGGGAACCAGCTTTTAAAGCCAGCTCCCAGCATGCACTGGTGCCCGGGGAGGCAACTGCTGCCTCCGTGTAAACGTTGAAATTTTCAGCAGGTACACGGTTAGCAAATTACACCCATTTTAACATCCTTGGTCGGAACAGAGATAATCATATCTACTATCAAAATGCTTTCTCATCAAATGTTGCCCTCTGTTTTTCTCCCTTTTGCAAGAGCTGAAATGGAAAGAGAATAACTGCACCCTTGTAACTATAAAGAGGTTAAGGAAGGTTCTTTTCTTGCCAGAAATAACATCTTCCTTTTTGTTCCAATTAACCTATACAAGGTGAAGAGAAATATCCTTCCTCTGTCTAGGATCGCTGATGCAGGGGATGTGGGAGTTCTGGGGCATACTGGTTCATTGGTACATACAGCTAGAAACGTTAATGTAATATTCAGGCAGATTTATTTATTTATTTATCTTTACTCCTTGCTTCTTTGGATACCATTGTGTAGCAGCACAGCACAGCTATTAAACAACGAGAAGAAAATATAAACAACGAGCTAATTAACAGGCTAGGAAAACATTGCACCAGAAGACAATGCATCTCAGCTGTAGCATGCTTCTGCTTTCCTAACTAAGAAATAAGCACATTATTCATAACAGCAAGACCACTAGGCTCTGAGTAGCTGTCCACAGAGTCGTGTTGTGTGCCGTAGCTGTTCTTTGATATTAAATGGATATTTCCTTTTACTCTCCTTATATTGGCCTCTAGCCTATTAGATGTGCACATGCAGACTTAAAAATGCCACAGGTTATTGTAACTTAAACAAGGATTTTGTAGCATGGATATAAAAGCATTACTCAAGCTCTGATTCTCTCACTGCAGCTCTTAACATGGACCTTGAAGCAGGCCAGGAGAAGACACTACTCTGCTCAGTAACCCACTATTCTACTCTGCAACCAGCTACCCAAACTAGACCCACATAACCACCTCACAATTTAAATAAGATGATTACTAAAACTCTGCATTGTTTGGCAGGATATCAAAGTGCTATGGAGTGGTTGCTAAATACACTTACTCCCTGTTTTACAGATGGGGAAACTGAGGCAGGCAGTGTTTAAGTTACTTGCTCTAAGTCATGCAGCGAGTGGCGATGGCAATACAACCTGTATCACCTGACTCCCACTTCCCTATTACGATTACCTGCATGTTGCCCTTTAACTTTACCTAAACTTTGTTACTCTGTAACAACAAAGAACCAATTAAATTCCTTTGGAGGGATTTCGGATCATGCTTTTCTATTTTAGACAACAACGCATAACCAGTATGGGAGCACAGCAGGCTAGCAAGGTCATATAGCTACAGATTCTGCACCACACCACACCACACTGTGCCATGATGTGATCAGTTCTGCGAAGCTGAACTAGGCCAATACGTGGATGGGAGATCTTTACAATCAGAACATCTGCAGCATTCACTCAGAAAAACATACAGAGATGTATATTAGTGTGGAGAAAAGCCAAGAATCAGCAAGAACAGAAGACAACAGCAATGGTAAATCGCTGGGTCCCAAGTGTACACTCACATAGACTCCTCTGTGTTAAGTCATGTGTGGGTGAAAAATGTAATGCATCAGTATTTCGCTGGGATGGAGGAGGTGCCTCTGTGAGATTCCCTTATAAATGTCTCCAGTCTCTCTGTTTGAGCTGATATGGAGTAACAGGCAGCAAAAGTGGCATTGCTACCCCTTGTCAGCTCAGGGGAAAAGTATAAAAGTCAGCAGTAGAACTTCAGACCTTGTTCTGGGTCAAGTTTCTCTATTTCAGAATCAACATTTGAAAGAAAAAAAGTCTTCCTATAAATAAAATAGTTTTTCACTGTTACACTTTCTGAATTAGCCTCTTTGGACTAACAGTTTTTGAAGGCAGATTATTGCTGGTTCCATGCAGGTGTGCAAGGCTGAAAGGGAAGAGTGCAAGGAGTCTATCCCGTAAGCCCTTTGTATGTGAACCAGCCACAATCCCAGTCTTTGCATTGCCTGGGTCTGTGTAGTAGGGACGTAATAGTGTAGTCAATTAGTTGGTTAACTGATAAGCAAAAGCTTATCGATTAATCCTATCGACTACACACGCCTACCTCCGCTGCGGCTCTGCATTTAAAATGTAGTAGGGGCCGGGCAGGCAGGCATCTCGGCTCAGTCCCGGTTTGTGCAAGGTCTAGGACCAAAGCGCACTGCAGCGCCCACAATTAAAATGCAGAGCCACAGTGGAGGTCGGTCCTGGACCCGGTGTGATAATTCTATTGACTACATTAGCAAATTACCTGCCTCTTAACATCCCTATGGCGTAGTACTCCAAACTAATGCTGCTGATGGCAGTATTCTCCTAAAAGGACGGGTGAAAGGCTCAATAACCCCTCACTTGCCTGCACCAAGAAGTCCTCCAGAAAGAACAGAACTGCTCTTTGGTTGTGCAGTTTGGATTCTTTTTGCCTTCTAATAATTTAGAGGCAGCTAATAGGTGCTTGTCAGTAAAGCCCTGCTTGTATACAAAATTTGTATCCACATCCACAGTTGTATCTGCAAAAATGAGATGCAGGTATCCACACTGACATCTGCATATGCAGATACCTGTGGATATAAAGTGGATGGCCACAGAACTGCAAGGCTTTACTCATCAGGAATGTGCTTTTATGGCTTCTGTAATTTTCACTAACTCTGAATCCAATGTAATTTTAAACAGGGGGAATTTTTATCAGGCTCATTGGAAGCCACGCTCTTAAATCCCTAAAGAAAACCTCTATAACATGCAGACACTTGAAATGAACAACACCAATAGGCCTCACCTATCTGATAACTACTTAAAAAGCACTTTCCATCTGTGAAGCATTTTACAAAGGCTAATTAACCCACATGCCATTAATTATCTAGTGTCAGGAAGGTGCGAATTTAGTTCTTGACTCTTGTGCTCAGAATACACATCCCTCCATGAAGATAAACTGCACTTCCCGATGCAGTAGAGTGGAGCCTCTGAAAAGCCTGCAGGTATATCTGCGCAAGCCCAAGAGACTAAAACAGCCAGAGAGCCCAATGCTGCTTCCATTTATATCCGTGCAATGGGTATGTGTGTGCAGAGAGAGACAGAGAGAGGGTATGTGTGCGCAAGAGAGCAGCTAGGAATGGCCTCAGCAGCCACATGTTGTAATTCTACTAATTGTGAGCACCAGAGAGAGAAGAGGTTAACACAGCAGCATAAATGGAAAGAGGTATGTACTGTACCACATTCTTTCAGAGGCTCGTCAGACCAGTCCCTGCAGTCTCTATGTGAATCACATACTTTGACTCCATCAATGCACTCTCCACTTCTACACTGAAATTTCCTGGGGCTTGCACATGTGGACTCTGTCGTGTTGGGCAAGAGAGGAAAGCAACTAAGTTAGATTATGATAATGAAGACTGAACATCAAGCTTCAAGAGGATAAGATTAGCAGTAATGAAATGATGTTAAGCAAAAGAATATTTAGATTGATCATCATGGACGATTTTTTTCCCCAAGAGTGAGGTCTCTTAGGACTTTGGAAAAGGCTCCTTAGAAAGTCCCACTACTGGAATAATTTAAAATGCTCTATAAGGAACAACCCTGCATCTTCCAAGGGAGATGGATAAGGCGAACTAATAGGCTAATAGAGGCCTTTTGTATCTCCAGGCCTATGATGCTCTGACAGAGCTGGTGTTGTTGCGGTACCTTACACTGAAGAGAATAGGCATTGGCTATACATACCATTAATGCAACCTGCTTCATCGCTGTTGTCCGGGCAGTCGTGTACCTTGTTGCACTGCTTTGTGCCGTGGATACAGGTCCCATCCCCACACTGGAACTCATCAGGGCGGCAGGTCACTAATGCTTTAAAATGACACCATCCAACTGTTAACCAGCATAGATTTTAAATGGCTTCATACAAGAGTCTTTAACCACACGCGAGACTCTTCGTTTGGCTTATTAATCTCTACCTAACATGCACCCTGGGCTCCTGTACCCAATTTAAAACATGAATTATATGCAGAGTTGACTGCATCTATTAAAGGACTCGACAGAAGCTCAGTGTCTCTTTGTGCAGGAGGCTTTAACCATGGGATGCAGTGCAGTCACAGAAATTCCCTGGTGTGCTGATCATGCTAGTGATTCCTGCCTTCTTGCTTTCTCGAGCTCCCCACCACCCTGTACTTCTGGGCCAGTCCCTCTGGGCTCCCTGAGACAAGGCACGGCTCAGAGTTGGGGTTACCACCCTCTTAAAGAGAAATGCAAACACTGAACCACTTCAGCTCTGGGAGGATGCAATTCCAGGGCTCAGCACCTGGGAAACTAACTCCCAAATGGGACCAACCCCCACCTACACAAAGCCGTTTTCTCTGTGTAAAAGTTTTAGAGGGAAGACTTATCAGGTAAAAGCCCCCTTCAATGAAAGAGAGCTATGTATAATGGTTGCTCCCCCATTATTTACAGAATTATTTACACTGGGCCTGATAGTAAACCAAAGTGTTTTTATTAAGTACAGACAGTGGGATTTTAAGTGGCTGCAAGTGAAAACAGATCAAAGTAAGTTACTAAATTAAAATGAACAGGAAACCTAGAGCTAGTTCTAATTCACTAAGAAACTTATTTCATGTGGATTCATATCATAAAGAGCTGTTCTTATTTCAGGCATAATCTTCAAATCAGAGACAAATTCTTTTACTCTGATTTGGGTTTCCAGCCTTCATTGTATTCTTTTAGGGTGTGCCCAGCCGTTTCCCAGGCCAGCCGAAGACAAAGGGGCTGATAGCTTCCCATTGCTTAAATGGATTCTCCCCTTAGGTGGGAATCTTTTGTTTTACATTTACATCCTCTTTATGTGGAAAAATACCAGGTTCAAGATGGATGACAGTACCAAGTGGTATGGTCACGTGTTCCTAAGACCAACCACAGTTTAGACTTACAGGATAAACAAGGCTGTTTACAAGATGCTGAGTTGAACAAGTAATGGCTGTCATTAGCACATTTAAAACCATGAACAGATGCACAGTACATATTTCTAACTTCACATACAAGAATGATACATGCACCAAAATAGGATACACCGATCCAGGATATTGTAACGTTAAAACTGATAGGTTACATGACGTATTTTTTTCAAAGCATCGCCGAGTTATGCACATCTATATACACAAACCAATTTTCATAAAGCATGGGGGGAGGAGAATGGTCACAAATGGATAACAAACTTGGGTTCTGTCAGACCAAGAGCGGGAGAAAGCTCTTCACTGAGAATGTCCTGCCTTTAGCTCTTCGGTGTTTGAACATGGCAGTTTGTTGAGGTACTCCAGTTAATCTTATGGGCCAAGGCAAAGCACGAGGAGTGAAGTGAAGGGAGGTTCCAAAGAGGATGGAGAGAGGCTGTTCTCAGTAGTGACAGGTGGCAGAACAAGGAGCAATGGTCTCAAGTTGTGGTGGGAGAGGTCTAGGTTGGATATTAGGAAAAATTATTTCACTAGGAGGGTGGTGAAGCACTGGAATGGGTTACCTAGGGAAGTAGTGGAGTCTCTATCCCTAGAGGTGTTTAAGTCTCGGCTTGACAAAGCCCTGGCCGGGTTGATTTATTTGGGGTTGGTCCTGCCTAGAGCAGGGAGCTGGACTTGATGACCTTCTGAGGTCTCTTCCAGCTCTATGGTTCTATGATTCTAAGTGAGTCGCCAAGGCAGGCCCGAGCCAGCCATATACCTTGAATATCAGCCCACAGCCAATCAATGCAGACAACAGGGCTTCCTGTCAGAAACAACGTTAAGCAAATGGGCAGCCAAATTCTATGCTCTCAGAAGTTTGATTGGTTTTCAGCTTTAGCCCACATGAGGTGCGCTGTCGCACCCCAATGGGAAAGAGATAAAGGCAGGGAGAACTGAGCACTGGCTCTGGCTACCTCTCCTTAGCTTTCTACTGATTTTAGATAAAACAAGATTTTTTAACAAAATACCTTTGAAACAAGTCCAACCTGAGGTCCCGGGCCAAATTTATCCTTGGTGTAACTCCACTAATGTCAAGGCTGTTACACCAGGGACCAGGCTAAGACTGGAGGTATGAATGTCGGAGATGCTGCATATTCAGAAGTCACACTGAAGACCAAAGGGAGCTACAAGAGCTCAGCTGGGAGCTGGGCTGGGTGGGTCTAGGTGAGAGTTTGAAAACATGCTGGCTGACAGAGCATGAGTCAAGCCTGAAGCTCACTTTCCTGGTCAGGTTATTACTGACTCAAAACAGGTCTTTATGACAGAAACATTAAGAAACCTCACAGTGACAGAGGCCTAGAGTCACAAGGGGGCCTTAGGCCTTACATCACTCAGTCTTGCAATGCCTAACTCTGAAGCAGTCCACTGCCTAGTGGCATTCACAGCGCTGTGTTAGGTGCCCAGGCTCCCCACACAGGTGCCTGAGGAAAGGGTTCACAGAAACCACCACACTGAGCTGCCCAAACTAGCCAGTAGGAAAGGTGAAGGAAAGGGAGGCGGGGGAAGGTTAAGCCCTTCCCCTCAAAGGGAGTTAAGTGCCTAACTCTTCACCAAAGGGAGGCAGCTCCATCCACTCAGGATTCACTGTGAACCCTTTCCTGGAGTTCGGCCTGAAGCCAAACGAGTCCTTTCCTGCAAAGAACCCAAGTGGAGGTGGAGAAAATGGTGGTGGCCTCCTTATGCTCAAAAGACTGGGGGTTCTGGCATTCACCGGCAATACAGGAAACCAGGGTTCATGTCCCTGCTCCTAATCAGGCAAGGTAGGGACGTGACCCTGGGCCGCCCCCATCCCAGGTAAGTGCAACTAACTGCTGGATTGTCGTGCATAAAGGGTGAGCGGCTCCACTGTCTTCTCTGTGTGAGTTAGGCCTGTCTTGATGAGGCCCTGCAGACAAGGCAGATGGGGGAATGACTAGTTAGAAATTCCCCCCAGCGCTGGGTGTGAGCTGGGACACCAAGCTGCTTGGTGGTGTTAGGACTTCGGTGCCAGTGCTCACGTTCCCCTGGCAGAAATGTAGGTGCCCTGGGGACTTCAGGCATCTACAGGATTGGGCAGCAGCTGAGCGGTGTTTTGTGAATGCCAGTGGCACCTACATGTTGAACGTGGGCACCTAAAGGTGAGGTAGACACCTATATCCTCCTTTTAATTCTAGTCCAGAGCTTTTACCTGAAGCAGTGTCTTCCTGGCCTCCATATCTGGGACTCTAATTTATACTGAAAATGAGTACAAAAGCTCTATAGGTGCTCAAGGGTAGGGGCCAGTTTGATTGCGAAGGAGACCTACAACTCCCTGGTATGTTATCTCCCCCACCCCCGGTTCTGAGGAGCCCATCTTCCAAATGTTTCCTCAAAATTCTATTAAAGTAGCAAATGATTTGAAAGTCTTTACTGTTGTGTTTCTTCTCTGGGGGCTAAAGTCTGGCCCTAAATGACAGAAAATCATTGCCTCTGAATAGCTGTAGGAGGTCAGAGCTGATGTTAATTCATGTAATCCAGAGCTGCCTGGTAGAATTTTCCTTGACAATTTCATAAACTGTCTCTAAATAGAGAAATTATGGCTTTTAGATAGCCCCCAAAAGGGCCAAGAGACATTAAATGATCTAGCAGCAAGTATCATAAAGTGCAAGCAAAGGCACAGCACCATATAGGATGCACAATACAGACGGAGGATGATTTCACTGGACTGAATTCTAGCACGCACAGAATTGAGGCATGACCTTTTGTACAATGACAGCTGCAGCAGCTCTGGAGAAGTGGGGAAATCCAGCATTTATAATAAATATACTATGACAAAATATAGGCTGTGAGGTGGTACCACCACCAGCAGCACCCTACTGCCAGGATAGCCTGGTCAAATGCACCCCATAAATACATGAACATAAATCTTTGCAAAAAACACCAAGGGGAAAAACAACTTTCCCTTGCAACAAATGGTATCCTAGCAGCTAGAACTTTATCAAGATCAAATTCCCGAAGCTAATAGTGAGACAATTAAGTAGATGGGAGACTTCAAAAGCAACATCTGGCGGACCTACTGGATCCATCAGTTCCATATTCTTCATTGTAGGTGGAACTCAGCAATAAAGCAATTGCCCAACCCAATCCTACACTTACTCAAGTTAGTACAATTTTTGCCACTCAGTTCAACTAAGGACCTGCAGTTCATCAAGTAATTTGGGATCCTCAAGGCAAAAGTCTCCATGTACCTTGAATATATGTATTTATTCTGAGTAGTAATATTAGTAACAGTAACAAGAATCCTAAGTTTAGGTTTATTTTAAAAAGTTAAACAAACTTACTACTACGACTTAATACTTAGTCCTGCCATGAGTGCAGGAACTGGAGTAGATGACCACGTGAGGACCCTTACAGTCCTATGATTCTATGATACAGAGAAATGTTCCCAGTTTTTAATGAAATATATTTGTAGGAAACCCAAACCTAATATTGTACATCTGCATGAGAATTTGAGGGGGAAACTGTAAACACGCTAGTTTAGAGTCTTTATCCATGCTGAATAGGCAGCAAAATGCATGAATACAGATGCAAGATGGTACAAAGACTTAGTATGAAAAATAACCCACAACATTTTAAGTTAGCAAAGTACAGTAATGAGGATAATGAAGCAGATGTTTGAAATGTTTGATTTTCAGAGGTGCTGATCACTTGTATCCCAACTGACCCAATGGGAACTGCAGGTTCTTAGCACTTCCAAAATACAGCCACTGAGAGCCTTACCTTTGGCATCCAACACTTCTGACAATAGTGCTTAACGTTTGCGAACACAAAAGCCAAGGAAGTTGACATAAGCAAAAAAAGAACCAGAAAACTCCCCAACCTGGGGTTCAACACAGTTCCTATAAA